AAACCAAGATACCACATTTGTGGGATATTCGGATCGATATTGATTATATGTCTGATCCATACAATGCTAGATCCCAGATCGAATATGTATTTCTTTGTGGATGTACTGCTATTTCATAGAAACCTGTTAAACAATTACTGGTAGCTACCTCATCCAATCATTTAGAAATTATTGCTTTATATAAAACCAAGAAGAATGTGTATGGTTGAGGCCATTAGTGCATAATATTTATAACTCGTGCGGAATAGTAAGTACTAGTGATAATCCCGCAATCCTATATGAGGACAATGCAGCATGTGTTGCACAAATGAGTAGTGGTATGTTAAAGGTAATCTTACAAAGCATATTGCACCTAAATTCTTCTACTCATATGAACTCTAGAAGAGTGATGAAATACAAGTTAAAAGGATTCAATCAAGTGACAATCTAGCAGATTTGTTCACTAAATCCCTACCTACATCTACTTTTGAAATGTATATACATAAAACTGGGATTCGTAGGTTACAAAGATTATTGCCTTCAGGGGGAGCAACAAAATCTAAGTATGATTGATTTATTGGTCCCGATAATCAAATATTTTAATACATCCTAACATGGCGTTTGGTTGAAGGGAATTTAAATTCCCTTCCCATTTAAATTCCCTTCCCATTTAAATTCTCACTTTATTCCCAGTAATTCATCTCCCATGGAATTGCAATTCCTTTCCCACGTTTTGTACTCTTTTTCCCTTAACTAAGTTTTTTCCCAGTAAGTTTTTTCAAGGTAAGGTTTTTTTTTAGTGAGGTAACCGAAGGGACACATGATCGAATTACTCATATATCATGTACTCTTTTGTCGTTCAAATTTTTTCCACGAGGTTTTTCTAGAGAGTTTTAAACTAGGTATGATTATGATCATATAATGTCCAAACGGGTGTTATAAAGATTTTAATATGGATGTTTTCAAAAAAAAAAAAAAAAGATTTTAATATGGATATTAATATGGACATTAATACCATTTATGACAATGATTTTGTAACGGTCATTCTTTATATATTACCTTCCCTCCATTGTTGTAATAGATATATGTAAGGATTGAATGAATAAAGAAGCTTCTTCTTTGTCTCTACTTTCTGTTCTTTGTACTTACATCTTGTTGTATATTTTATCTTTAAGTACATCACCTGCAAGTTTATCGTTAGAAATTGGTAGGCCAACGGGCACAATAATCTACAACATAAATAAAATTACTTTTAATTGATTTGTTTTTTTTTTCTTCAGAAATTTTTATATCTAAACCTCCAGTTCTACAGACTCTGAAACCCATAGAAATTGAGATTCGAGCATTGATTGGACAATTTTAATAAATTAATAAAATATAAATTTTAAAAATATTAGATGACGCAGTTATTTTGGGTACGTACAATTTTAATAGTCGCATTACTTCTCTTTATTATTATTATTTTTTTGTTTTTTTAAAAAAAAAAACTTTAAATTCATATTCTGACAAGACCTTGACCTTCAATAATTCAATTGGTTTTGATAATTAATTTGAAAGTTCCAAATGTCTAAATCTACAATTGAACGAAATGAAAAATGAATATATATTGGTATATTGTATTAAGAGTAAATTTCACTTTTAGTCTTCGACTATTGTATAAAAAATAGTAATTTATGCATCTCCATAATATGCTAATTATCAATATCACTCCTGCATTACTAGTGGTTTAAATGTTGCCCCTCAATTTTCAAACGGTACATATATTGTCCCTCAAATACCATACAGGAGGAAAATTGAAGGGCAACATTTACACTACAGGAATTGAAGGGCAATATGGAGATAGGGACTCTTCCTTTTGAGTTGAGTTTCCTCCCCTTTAACTTAACAACAACCAATATATTATTTAGAAAGAGTTTCTTTGTTTTTGCTAATCTATAAGGGGCTTCCATGCTTCTTTCCTTCCTAGCCGTCTATTTCAATCGAGAGAGTTCAACTCCCAGTCTCAGGTCAAATGCAGAAGAGACAGGAGCTTCTTCCCTCGGGTCGTATGGACAGGAGTAAGCAAAAGCCAGATCTGATTCAATAGGAACAGAACCTTCTACCCCGTCTGGTATTCAATTCACTAGCTTCGACCACTCTCACTCCCTTTCTTAAAGAGTCAAAGTGCTTAGAGGAAGAAGGGGAAGTCTGAAAAGACTGACAGATATTGCCGTTTTGAAAATTGAAGGGCAACATTTACATCACTAATAATTCAGGAATAACATTTATAATTGGCATATTATGGTGGGGCATAAATTATAATTTTCTATTTTAATATTCGCATTACTTCTCTTTTGTTTTCTTTTAAATGTTGGAAAAAATAAGCTGATAAAGTGAAAAATAATTAACTGTTGTGCCGTAGTATAATTATTGCCATAGAAGTGAACTCGTCGCTACCTGTGCAGGCTCACAACAACAGCATTGCCCCTAAAGGTTAACATAGCAATCCCTGTCTCCGTGCACCCGGGACATGGTTTGGAACTTACACACCATACTCAAAATAATAATGAGACACAAGAAAGAAAGAAACAATCCATGTCTGATGTTCTAAACTTAAGGCAATGCTCTGTTTAAATAGTGGAGGCCATGCAATTGAGGCCACATACTATTTAAAAGATTTTGGCCCTATTTGATAAAATAGTTAACCTATAGGTCAATTATAACTTATTTGATCACTATTAGCTATTTGATTAGGTTAAAAAATCAATATAAGTACTTAGTTAATAAGCTTTTTGTAACTATAAAATGTTAAAATTCAAAAAGCTGCTCAACGCAACTTTTTCAATTAATTTTTTGAGAAAAAAAAATTATGCCAAACAGCTATCAGTTAAGAGCTAATTTACCAAACACTTTTCTACAATCAGCTAATATTATCAACTAGTTATACCTTCTAATTAACCCAATTAGATCAGAGCAATTTACCAAACGGGGCCTTTAAATACTCATTAATTTATGGTGAATATTAAACAATAACAGTGAAATTTGGGAACAATTGTAAATATTAAACCATCAGTGAGTCATAAACCACAAAATTAATGAGTGGCTTGCATTTTTCTCAACCTTAAATTCATATTCTGACATGACCTTCAATTCAATAATTCAATTGGTTTTCATAATTAGTTTGAAAGTTTCAATCTAAATCTACTATTGAACTAAATGAAAAATGAATTTATTGGTATATTGTATTAAAAATAAAGTTCACTTTTAGTTTTTGACTATTGTAGCATTAAATTATCTAATTTAATCTTATTCCTTCAATTTTGTCATATTTAGTTATATTTTTTTTTAATTTTAGCACATTAAATTTTTTATTTTTATTTGTTTTCCACAATTAGTTACTTATCTATTTAAAATTTTGCCATTTCACTTTTTTAATAAATTAAGATTAAGATGGTTACCATGTAATTTTTTCATTCAAATCTTTTGTCCAAAATGTAATCTTTCTCCATCTATGGTAAACTCTTTTAATTGAATGATTAAATTACATATTAGCTATAATCATTAAATGGTTAAATAACCAAAATTTTGATGAAAGACTAATTATGACAAACAAATAAAATCAATGTTAATGATATAATGTGACAAAATTAAAATATCATAACTAAACGTGATAATATTACAAACAATAGTTGGAGATTAAGAGTGAAATTTTCTCATGTATTTATTTCGGGATTGGTATCAAAATTAAAATAGTAACTTTATTTCTTTAATTTAATATCCTACAAATATTTTCAGGCAAAATTAATTTCCAACTTTAAATTATTTTAAAAATAGAAAGTTGGCTAAATTAAAAGTTAGTATGAAAATATATATTAATTTTTTATGACATTTATTTAACGCGAAGGGGTCGTCGAATAGGGTCATAGGGATGGTCGCAATATGTGGCTGGCAATTGTACGAGATTAATTATTATTGTCGTTATGGATAAGTATACGATGTGACCATGACTTATGATCGTCGCCGTCTGCGCGACGCATTTAAAATAATAATAATAATAATAATAATAATAATAATAATAATAATAGTAATAATCCTATATATAATAAAGCCATATGGTCTAAGAGACAATGACGAGAACGCTCTCGGGCCAACGGTCGACGGAAGAAGAAGATCTGCTAGAACGGAGCAAGAAGAAGCCGAAGCATATTGACAAGGCCTCAGCGAGCCAATCCTTGGATGGGATGGAGGAGGACGGCACACAGGAGGAGGTGGTAATCGTGGACGAGACGCCGGCCGCTGAGATGCCCATGCAGGTAGCTTTTGATTCGACTCCTAACGTCACGCTTACGATCCCCGTTTCTTTGCAGGTACCAGCGCCACAAAATCGTTCCTACGCGGACTACGTGACTGGCCACACAACCACGCATGGGATTCAGATCGAGGATGATAGAGAGAAAGAACCTGAGGATGTATCGGAGGATGAAGACGAGGATCCGTTATGCCCCATCATCCGCTTGACCAAAGAGGAGGAGGAGGCCATACGAGCGCCATGGAGGAAGGCTCTTATTATCAAGGTCATGGGAAGGAGAGTGGGTTACGCCTATTTGTTAAGGAGGCTGCGATCCATGTGGCAACCGAAAGGGAGTATGGAGCTCATCGCAATCGACAATGACTATTTCCTAGTACGCTTTGGATCAGTGGAGGACCTGGAATTCGCCATGTTTGAGGGACCATGGATGGTGCTGGATCATTATCTACTGGTGAAACCTTGGAGGCCTGATTTCGACCCCGGAGAGGATACCACAGAGAAGGTGCTGGTATAGATTAGGATCCCATGTATCTCCGCGGAATACTATAACATCATATTTCTACGAAAGCTAGGAAACAAGATTGGAAGGACAATACGCGTAGACCAGGCAACGAGTCTAGTTTCCCGGGGCTACTTCACGAGGATCTGCGTTGAAGTGGACATAACGAAACCATTGATATCCAAATTCAACCACAAAGGTAAGGTACGATCCGTGGCTTATGAAGGCATCCACATGGTGTGCTTCACATGTGGTGTCTACGGTCATGCCCCAGATGCATGCCCTACGACGATCAGAACGCAGACAGTACAGGTTGAGCCGGAAGAGCCCTGCCCAAACCAGGTGGGAGCAGCACCGTTTGGAGCTTGGATGATCGCACCAGGTAGGAAAACGAGAGCAGGCATGAGAAGACCGCAAAGGGGACAGGTGGAGGGGCAGAAGGGTGGAGTTGGAAATCGGGAGGGTGGCGTTACAAACTCCAGATTTGGACCGTTAATGATACAGGGGGACGCCGGGGAGAATTTAGAGGCAGAGGAGGTGAATTTGGAAGCAGAAGCTGCGAACGGTGAGATGCCAGTGAGTAATGCCGGCGAAGTGGAAAGGGAGGTTTGGGCAGCCGCACCGAACGGGGGAAGAGAAAGACGACCAAATGTCATCGCAAATGAAAGACAAATCCTCAATGATCACAATAGGAGGGAGGAGCCAAGGCAGCGAGTGGAGGAGAGGCCGATGGCTAACCGGAGTGGAAGCCAAAGGAACAGCAGGAGGCAGACAGATGGAGGAAGCCATGCGCAGAATGTGGGTGAATGTCCAGGACAAAGCAGGGTACATAGGAGAGCAGCAGAGGAGGAAGAGCATGTGGTAGTAAGAGGATCAAAGGGGGGACTCAATATCTGCACTAGAACAGTTAATCCGGACCTACAGATTGGTTGTGATTCACAGTTGAATCTTGAGAATACAGGGGAGCACCACTCGGATGAGCCGGACAGTCTCGACGAAGACGGTGATGCCGTCATGGAGGTGGATGATGCCGCGGAGGGAAGAGCTGGGGGACGTAGCGAGAACCGGGCGTAAAGTCCATCTAAGCTCGTTGCTTGTGTACCTCTTCTGAGTCTTTTTGTATTTTCGTTTTCCTTTGTCTTAATGATTAGTTTGATTTGGAATTGTCAGGGCGCTGGAGGGAGAAATTTCCAGCGAATCCTTCAAACTCTTCTGAAGAATCACAAACCAGATCTGATTGGCTTGGTGGAGCCTAGAGTTTCGGGTGACCATGCTAATGATATCTGCTCTAAGCTAGGGTTTGATGACTGGGTCCGAGTGGAGGCTATAGGTTTTAGCGGGGGAATTTGGGTTCTTTGGAATAAACCTTTGGAAATTACTGTAGAGTTTACTCACCCTCAATTCATCTTATTGCAGGTCAAGGAGCTTAGTGGTCCACCATGGGTGCTTGCAGTGGTGTATGCAAGCCCGACTCAACACCTGCGACGACGCCTTTGGAGCGCGCTTAGGGCGAACCAACAAAATATCCTTCACCCTTGGCTCGCCGCGGGGGATTTTAATACAGTAACTTGCTGCAACGAGACTCTCAACTACACCGCATATAATGCACACCGAAGTGCCGATTTTGTAGATTGGATTCAGGAGGAAGGCTTGGTAGATTTGGGTTTCGTGGGACCGCAACTGACGTGGGTCAGAGAAGCGGATGCTACTACCCGTAAAGGGGCAAGGCTCGACAGAGCGTTATGCGATATGCCATGGCGACAACGCTTTCCTGAAGCCGAGGTCAGGCACCTGCCACGTATCGCCTCTGATCACACACCACTCCTTATTCAGACGGAGGCTAAAGGTGGCAGTTCCACGGATTTCAGGTTCAGATTTCAAGCAGCGTGGATGACTAATGATAGTTTGTCGGAGGTGGTAAACCGAGCCTGGCACCCCAATGAAGATATAGTGCAGAACATCCAGCAAGTGCAAGCGGGTCTAACGGAATGGAACAAAAATGTGTTTGGTAGCATTGAAGCGAAGAAAAGAATTCTTTTGGCACGGATTGGGGGGATCCAAAAGATTAACTCCAATGCGCGCCATAAGGGACTTGTCACGCTATAAAAGAAATTGAAGCAGGAACTTGAAACGACTCTATACCAAGAGCTGAAATGGTTCCAACGATCACATGAGGATTGGATAGTTTCGGGAGACCGAAACACAAAATTTTATCACGCGGCCACTTTGGTAAGGCGCTCCAGAAACAAAGTCCTTAGTCTGCAGAACGACAATGGAGTATGGATTACCGATACAGAGGTGCTACAAAATCTGGTACAAGATTTCTATATAAACCTTTTCAAAGAGGATACAGGCACGGACTTATCGCGGGCGGTGAGGGGCTTTTTCCCAGTTCTGGACACAGTGGATTGGGTGAATTTCCAAAGGGAGGTAACAAAGGATGAGGTACGCGCAGCAGTGTTTGACATGAGCCCTTGGAAGGCACCCTGGCCAGACGGTTTACACGCAGGTTTCTATTAAAAGACTTGGGAGACAGTGGGGGACACCATGTTTACGATGGTAAAAAATGCTTTTCAATCAGGAATGCTGCCCGATGGTGTGAATGACACCCTCCTGACTCTAATTCCGAAGGTCGGATCGCCAGAGACAATCAAACAGTTTAGGCCTATCAGCTTGTGCAACGTTTCATATAAAGTCATTACCAAGACAATAACCAATAGGCTTAAGGACGTGCTGCCAAAGCTTGTTGGACCGTGCCAGAGTTCCTTTGTACCAGGCAGGCAAATCTCGGATAACGTGCTTACTTACCAGGAAGTTATGCACTCAATGAGAGTCAAGAAAGGAAAAACAGGCCTGATGGCGATTAAGATTGATTTAGAAAAGGCTTATGACAGGTTATCGTGGAATTTTATTTCTGATACTCTTTTTGATGCAGGTTTTAATGACGCTAGTGTGCGCCTTATAATGACATGTGTGCGAACGGCGTCCTTGTCCATTTCGTGGAATGGTAGTCGTCTACCAGCTTTCAAACCGGAAAGGGGAATAAGACAGGGAGACGCTATGTCTCCAGCACTCTTTGTGCTATGCATGGAGCGATTAAGTCAAAGCATTACAAATGAAGTATCCAACGGACGATGGACGGGAATCCAATTATCGCCGTCAGGCCCAACTTTGTCACACCTCTGTTTCGCGGACGACATGGTCCTCTTTACGGAGGCGTCACTAGAACAGGTTAGGGTTATTCAGCAACGCCTCGCGCGATTCTGTGAGGCGTCCGGGCAGAAAGTCAGTTTAAGTAAATCAAATGTTTTATTTTCGAAGAATACTAAGCCAGACATTGCAAGAGATATCGAAAGTACTCTGAATATTCCAGTTACAACGGACTTAGGTAGGTATCTTGGGATGCCATCCATGCATGGCAGAGTAACGCAAGCAACCTTCGCAGGCCTAATTGACCGTGTAACAACGAGGCTTGAAGGGTGGCGTGGCAAGCTCCTATCATTTGCAGGGCGGGTTACGCTGGCTAAGTCGGTGTTGGGCGCGATTCCTACTTATTCCATGCAAACTGCACAATTGCCAAAGGGGGTGTGCAACAAATTGGAGATGATAACCAGACGTTTCATTTGGGGCGGCCACGGGGACGTACGGAAGGTAAGTCTCGTAAAGTGGGATACAGTGACCAAACCCAAGGAAGCTGGCGGGCTAGGATTACGAAGCCTAAAGAGTGTGAACTCGGCGTTCATGGCAAAGCTTGGATGGCGGATTCTCACGGAACGAGACAGTTTGTGGGCACAGGTCTTCAGAACAAAATATGGGCTAGGGGATGGCCGATGGAGAACGGATAACCCCAGGGTAGCATCGAACGCCTGGAGAGGAATTTGTAGTGCCTCCGGGGTTCTGGACAAGGGGCTAACGAAAGTGGTTCGCAATGGCCGGGAAACAAGGTTCTGGATGGACAGATGGGTTCAAGGCAATCAGCTCTATGATTTTATGTTGCGCCCAATTAGCTTACCGGAGTTATATAGTCACGTAGCTGAATACTGGGAGAGTGGAAGAGGGTGGCGATGGGAAAGACTCGAGGGTGTTTTGGACGACAGCTGGAAACTGAAATTACATGCGTACGCTGTTCTTGAGGACAACGGAGCGAGAGATGATTGGGGATGGAGCATGGAACTGGATGGTCGGTTTTCCATCAAGTCTGCTTATACAGCCATGAGGGATTTTAGGGATGATAATGTAGATGAGGACTGGCAGAAAATCTGGAAGTTAAGACTCCCAAACAGAGTCAATCACTTTATGTGGTTGGTTAAACAAGGGAGGCTCATGACGAATGTAGAACGCTCGAAAAGGGGCTTCACAACTGATTTGTTTTGTTCTTCTTGTGCAGGCGTGCCAGAGAACTTGGAGCATATCTTCAGAGCGTGCGAGGCAGCTCGCATTTGGGAGAGGCTCGTACCGCGCCGAACAACACAATTGCTCCAGGGAACCGACTGGAGTACGTGGCTGTCTATGAACGTCAAGGCGGATAAGCGGCTAGGATTCCCGGAGGAGTGGCCAGAAATCTTCGGGCTTACCTCGTGGTGGTGCTAGAGGTGGAGGAATGCCAGAGTGTTTGAGGATAGCCATATGAGTGCTGAGCAGAAGGTAGCATGGATAAAAGAACAACACAACCAGACGAAAGCGGCTTTTAACATTCATAGGGTGACAAGGGGGGGGGGGGGGGGGTTAAACAGAGTGAGAGCGCAGCCACTTGGAAGAAACCGCAACATGGATGGTGGAAACTAAATGTTGATGGCTGTTGCAAGGGGGTCAGTAGAAGAGCAGGATGTGGGGGAGTGCTACGGGATTATCAAGGGCGATGGATCGGCGGGGTTACGCATAACATAGGGTATTGCACAGCGGAGGAAGCAGAAGTTTGGGCGGTTCTAGTGGGACTGCGCTTGGCCGTTGATCGCCAAGCCCAGAATGTCGTGGTGGAAAGTGACTCTTTGGCAACGATGAAGGGTATCATCGGGTGCATGGCAACGGGCGCTGAGAGCAATGTTATGCGATTATGTGTGAGGGAAGCGCAGGCGTTCCAAAAGATAAAGTTTATCCATGTGAAGAGAAGTGGCAACAAAGTGGCGGACAAGTTAGCAGCAATGGCGCTGGAGCATGAAATTGGGACGAGGTTCGTTGTTGATCAACCGCGACTTTTAGACGTCTTGATTTGGGAGGATAGGGTAGGGGCTCAGAGTCCTGATGCGAACGCCTAGTAGGATCCTGTAACGGGTTGAACCCCTCTTTTGTAACCAAAAAAAAAAGCCATATGGTCTTGTGAAAATTAAATGGTGAAAATCAACATTTAATTTTCACAAGACCATAATAATATTGTCCTTTATATAATAAAGCTATATGGTTTGGGAAATAATTAATGTTACAATTAATGCCACAACATCCTTTATTATAAAAAAATAAAAAAAAAAATAAAAAAACACAACATTTAAAAAATAAAATAGCTATATATTATATAATCAAATAAAAAATATACTTTTGAAAAATAAAATAGCTATATATTATATAATCATATAAAAAATGTGTTCAATTAGAGTTTAAATTTACACATACAAAATTTGAAATTTGCTTTCCAAATGTAATTATCTTAGTTATTATTCGTATTGTGATAAAAAAAAAAAAACACAACATTTAAAAAATAAAATAGCTATATATTATATAATCATATAAAAATATACTTTTGAAAAATAAAATAGCTATATATTATATAATCATATAAAAAAATGTGTTCAATTAGAGTTTAAATTTACACATACAAAATTTGAAATTTGATTTCCAAATGTAATTATCTTAGTTATTATTCGTATTGTGAAAATTATAATATAGATTAAATACAATTAAGAATAAATCAATGTAATTATGTAAATTCTCTCCATAGAACAGATACTACATTGTAATAGAGCCAGTAGCATTCAAAAAAAAAATGTAAATTCTCTCTATAAGTTTATTTGAATATGCACATAATTAGAGATTATATTAACCATATAAAATTATAATTATAATTTTAATTGTAATTTTGTATTCTATAAAAATAATAAATACTTGATGAATGGAAGCTCAAAAATATTATTATATTAAATAATTTAAAATATTTTAGTTTTTCTAATTTTTTATTTATATTTATAATAACATAATTTTTTCCTGTGCATCGCGCGGGTGAATTACTAGTTAATTATAATAACAATAACAATAGTAATAATAATTGCAATAATAATAATGATAATAATTTCCACTGACAGTTTCTAATATATATATATATATATATATATATATATATATATATATATATATATATATTTATTTATTTATTTATTTATTTATTTATTTATTTATTTATTTATATTTCAATTTCTACTGACAAATTATTGTGTGAACGATGGTCCACATAATTGTATGGATCATGAATATTAAATACATTTTTAATATATTAAAAATACATTCTTTTTATATTGAAAGTACCTTACATACATATATAATGTACCCTTAGTATATTTAAAATATACTTTTTATTGCATGCAACCCTAAAGTTCATAAGTTTGAAATTAATATATGGCATAACTAGGCGGCCTAATATTAAGATTGTTGATGTGCATATTGAGGACTACGGAGACAAAGATGCGTTATTCGTGGATTCATCGGATACTATCCAACAACACTCTCCAACTTAATTGACGTGAAATTGGCTTAGTAACATTAAGATTATATTCTCGAATTATTAGTTCTCATCTTTTATTGATTACACACTTAATTTGATAGTATTTGGAAGAAAAAGTCAATATTTGAACTAAGATTGTGATTTTGGTCTTTAAAGGTCAATTGTATATTGCTACATCTAGAGTTAGAAATCTTAAAGGTCTAAAAATTTTGATCCGTGGTGACTCTAAAATTGTAATTCAATTACTATTGTAATTTACTAAGTTCTTAAAAATTTGTAATATATATTAAATACTATATACTAAATTTTTAATATAGTTTAAGATTTGTAGTAATCACCCACCTTAAATATTATTTTAATTGTAAATATATTTATGTTCTTAATTTTATCATAGCAA